TTATTATTATATGATTTGATTTCTGGAGAATGCAGCTAGTTCGGTTTCAGTATATTGAATTTATATTAGTTTTACATTACTGAGGTCTCCTTCGTAGTGAATGTAGTATTTTCTTGTATTGATTACTGTGATAGGAACCCAGTTCAAGAGGAACAGAAGATTGTATGATTGATTGAAAACAAAAGCAATTGCAGAAGATATCCCCATGTCATCCCAGAGCCAATGCTTCTCAGAGAAGAAGTGACTCTGTCCAACCTTTCATAAGTTTCGAAGTGAAAGATGAACAAAATGCCACACCCACTCATTTCCATCGCTAACTGTCACAATCAATTCCCCGTAAAGTGGGATGCAGGATATTGAAACCTTCCACGTAACGCCAGCCCTTCTATTAATCCAATCGTATCATTAAGCACTTTTCATCGAGGAACCAAATTCTTCCTGCATCTCCATAATTTCATTCTATACCTTCTTAAATTTAAAATTTTCAAATTTACCTTTCAGTTTTAGTTCCGGATAATCCAGAACGTTAAAAATCAATATTTTCTGTATTTCGTTGGAATACGAAATTTGTATTCTGGAATATCTAACTTTTATATTGTAGAATATATAATTTGATATATAAAATAAAAATTTTACTTTGAAATGTACAATTTGAAATACAAATTTATATTTTTTAAATGTGTATTTCGAAATAAAAAAAATGTATTATAGAATATTTTAAATTGTAAATTTTGGAATATAAAAAATAAATTGCACCTCCATGTTTGATGTTCGGGAGTACAAATTCATAATGTGGCAGTTGCTCGACCTTTATACAAATTGGGTTTTCTGTGCCCCTAAATATTTGCTAGCACTTAAAGTTTTCGGCTTTGCTCATGAAATGTTTGCCATCTCTGATGTATTGTCTTAATAGACTTATTTGGCGGCCCTAGTGCATTCTTTACCAACTGCCTTTATTATCACCCAGCTGCGGTAGAAACAAAACCAACAAGAACTTAAAGAACTCATCTCTACTGAACTGTAGTTCGTTTAATATCAGCTGAAACAGAATTTGATTCTTAAATTTCTACATATATTTCTGTCGATGAAATCTTGATCAGGGAGAAGTTGCTAGAGTTTCATATACCTGTGCCATGCCAACCATTTTGGCTACGGGCAAAGTGGAAAAATTATACATATCGGCAGGTAAGACAGCAAAATTATACATACCGGCAGGTAAGACAGCGCACAACTAGAATGTATTTGAAAAAAATTATATATTTTGGATTTTGTGTAATTTAAACATTTTAAATTATACAATTTAATATTTTTTAAAACATATTTTGAATTATATAATTTTTAAGGTATTTCTATTAGATTACATAATTTGAAATGTTAGTTTTTAAGTATATTTTGAATTATCTAATTCATAATTTATTTTTGGATTTGAAAATGTTTTTTAAAAATTTAAATTCTCTGTTGATTCAATAGAAAATTCAAATTTATTTGAAAAGCGTTTTTAGATTCAAAAGTACATTTTATGTTGCATAATTCAGATTTTTTTTTTCGAACACAGTATGATTATACAATTCAAAAGGTAGAGTTGTTTTTTTTATTATTATTAAGGGTAAAAAGTCTTTCACCATCCCATGCAGGTGCATGATGAAAACATTGAGTACAGGAAGAATTTGCCTTTTGAAGATTGAACCATTAAGTCCAATAATGAGTCTGCTTGTAAAAGCTATGCTGGAATGTAATGTGCATCTTAGATTCTTAGGGGAACTCAATGAGAAATCAGACTGACTGTAGATTTAACATGTTTAATTCACCTTTAGTGTGTCAAATTAGTACTTGAAAATTACAAGTCTCTTAAAGTTACATAAGTAGTAAATTTAATGTTGATTTATATAGTTATTAATTTATTTCATTACAATTAGTGAGTTAATTTGATTCTGTTCAAAATTTGGAAATTATTTTGGACTTGAAATTTGATAATCGGTAGTCCAATTTGATTCTTGCTATCACGGATTGAATTGAGGAATGCATGTTAAAGTTGAAGAACAGAGCTGACTAATAGTTTTCGTAGTCATGAATTAAAATGGCATCACTGTGTGTAGAGATTAAAATTAATAAATCCTTGCCTTTAGTGATTAAAATGACTTAACAGTTGTCTATCTGAGCAATTCATTTCTTTTTTATATTTTTGAGATTACAATCTCAAACTTCATTTTTTCATTTACTCGTTAGGCTCCCGATCCCAAATATACTAACCATGTTTCAGTACAATAGTAGTGTCCACTTTTATGAATTTAGAAACAATACGCAACTTTTACGTGAATTGTTCTGAATCCCAGAAGCGGAAGAAAAATACAGTGGTTTGGTTTACTTAATTATCTCCTCCAGAGTTGACAAAAGATGTCTGACTTTTCATTCTCATTTTCATTTTATATGCAAATGATAAAATGGAAGATCTCGTAATTAAAATATGGTGAATGAAGAGAAGTGCATATATTGGACACCCAATCTCACCAAATCAAATCCAGGAAATGTGCCACTTCACAAGATTGTCCAACCAATGGTGACAAGAAATTGGATGTGTGCTGAAACATATTCTCATGATACTATGCATACCCTTCCTAACGTGTTCAAAAGATAAGTAATTCGTGAAAGTTTCCAAGTGCTAATCTAAAAACTACCAGAGCCTCGATCTACAACAGAATACGTTTTTATAATTATGTACATATATTTTAACGGTAGAGTCATAGTACAATCTTCACTCTACCACGGACCAGTTTGTGTTCGTCTGAGGCGTCTTCTCTTGACTTCTCGTTGCAAATTCATCATTTCCTTAACCTGCAATATTATCGGATGAAAGCAAATTCAGTAAAAAGGATGCTTAAATTTGTAATCTCTTACAATATATACTTTGAATCTGTAAGTCCTTGCATATTACAGTAACAACTTGTAAGAAAAAAACACAGACAGAACAATATCAATTAATAGTCCATTGAAATGGGAGCATTTCGTTCGAGTTTGAAAATCCTATGTTTTAGCTTTATATGATTCTGGAACAAGTGCAGACAGTCCTAAACATATATTAACACAACGAAGCAGGGGAGAAAACCCTTATTAAAAAGGAATTCGTCAATTCGTCAATAGGACATTCTAGTTCATAATCACTGTAATTGTATTGTACTCATCAAAAGAGCTCCAAGTTTGGGGCATTACAGGCTAATATGATGAAACTTCTGAACGTGATAGTTGTATATAGATATGATATCTTATCCAGGAATTTAAAACATAAGCACAATCACCGCACGGAACTGACATTTCTTCATACGGAAAATCCTAGAGACTTCTAAGCTGAAATTCCAAAACCACTCCTCCACTAATGTAGCAAAAATTTACCCACCCACCCCCAACAATAAAAAACAACCTAACTAGTAACAGATTGTTCCAAAAGACTTTTTGGACACAAGCCATATGAACAGATCAGTAACCTGGTTTACATGGCTAAAATTATCTGATCTCAAAAATACATTCACTGACAGTGATTATTGCTGATGTCTCTCTACTACAACCTTTCATGTGATTCTATTGTAAGATTGATAATTACTAAGTGAACAGGATTTTCAGTTCATTTAAATGGTTATATTAAAACATATTTCTTACTAGCTTTACATAATGATCATCAAATCAATTCAACACCCATAAACCAAAGAAAAAATGTCTGAGAGACAGAGACTAAACTAGAGAATTAAAAGTGATCCTTACAGACAATACATTGACAAATATTTAATCAAATAAAAATGGACTGAAACACTTGTTTTAGTAATTAATCGCATGACATAATTAACAGAAGAACCTAAAGTAGGTGGTAGTTCAAATCAGGTCTATCATTGTAGCACAATTTTGCACCAAACCTACCACCTCATTCATCACAAGTTTAACATGACCGGCACACCAATTTGTGCCGCTGATTGGCATAGTTTGTGACCACATTTTCTTCGGTTTGCTCCATTTGTCGGTGAATATTTTTTGTGGAAAAAAATGGTCTTAGTTAAGGACTGACAAAATAATATGTACTCGTGTAGAAAATTTAACCCTGATTCATGATATATGTTAACCAATCAGTCATGCAACAGGACATAAGGTTACAGCACTCCCTAAATTAAGGTCTACAAAATACTTTACAAGGACTAATGAAAAATAAAAACAGCAAATGGAATGCTGACAAAAAAAAAAACTTACTTGATTTTTCTGAATTTCCATGATTTCAGCCTGCAATACGCAAATAAATGTCGATTAGAGAAAATTTTAATGCGAACATACGACATAAATTCGTATACATGGGTGCTTGCATTTGTATGTGAAGTGACATGAGTCAATAACCATAATTACCTGTTTTTTCACAAGTTCTTGGTTCTCTTCTTTTAACTTTGCAACTTCTGCTTCCAATTCCATGGTATAAGCCTGAAACAAACAAAATGAAAATGTGAGGCCGAACTTACACCAGAAAAATAAATACATCTTACAAAATTTCAGCCTGCACTTCCTCCCACGTTATGTCTTGCAAGTTAATACATTTTTACTTATTATATGCTTCTTTGGATTTTATGATGATCCAACTGTTAGTGATGTTCCCAACCAGCTGTTCAATTACCTTGTAATAACCTGGATCTTTACAACTTCTCATGATTGTAACTTCTCAATATCTTTCACCTTTCATCAGATCAGATCGCTATCATATTACCATTCTGCTGCATAATCTTTCAAGGTATACAGCATGTTCACAGAGGATAAAAGCAGAACGTCAATGGCCGAGCAGTATTACTATTAGTAAAGAAATAACATGACGCATATCGTCATTATATTCTTTCGATTTTAGAACTGAACATTCACTAACCCTATTATAGAAAATTATGTGGCGTATTTTCATGAAAAATGTTACAGCTACTCCTCCCTCCTTTCTGATATTGAGAGTAAAATCTACAGTCTGCAACGGCAGGCATTTGATTATCTCATACCAGTAGATGGAGGTTGCAAGACAACAGATGAGTTGTAGACAAACACAAGTTTTATCATAGGCTCGTCTTGCATTTAGGCATTTAAACTGAAAGTTAAAGGTGTTTAATTAAAGCTTGAAAACGTAGCTTACAACCCTCCCAAAGCTCTTTTTAGCTGCTTTTTAATAAGCTTCATGCTAGCTTGATCTCATCAAAGTTATAGATTAAGCCCTAATGACATAAGCTCTTTTTAATTAAATTTTTACTCAAACATGCCTATGTACATGTTTAAAGTGATTGCATCAACCCATTGATATCCTTATGTTCTAACTAGAGAAATTAAATCAGTCTTTTTGCATTTAAGTAATTGTTCCTTTGAATATACAAATGCAAGAGAACTATGATTGCTAAATTTAGGATAGTGGAACAAATATTCACCTGCTTGCGTGCCCGTGACCTGGCAGCTGACTCTCTGTTCTTTATCATCCTTCTCTGCCTCCTCTCTATCACCTTCTCCACAGCTCCTCCAGTCTTCCTCCCCCGCATGCCTCCGTTAAAGACATAAGGAACCGGTGAGACAGACGAGGTATCACCATTGCTCTTGGTCATCTTATCACCGGATATTTGGTTAGCAGCAGGAGACCCAGTAGCAACATGAACTGACCCAGGTGCCAAACCAACCCTACCAATCCCTCCACCTTGCACGCTCAAACCCTGATCACCACCGAGTCCCACAATCCCACCCCTAACCATTCCCTGGGGCATCTGAGCAGCTGCATAAGACATAGGACTCTGCTTAGGAAATATCTGCTGCTGATGCTGTTGCTGAGACTGTGGACTCTGCATCTGTGGCTGCTGACTGGACGATCTCACCCCATTAACACTCAAAGGCAAATTGGCAGAAGACTGAAGACCCACCAGTGGATCATTGTTCAACCGGTTACCCATCAAACCGGTAGCAGTAGAAACCTTGTTCATCTGCTGGAACCCAAACCCCAAACCGTTGTTATTCCCCGCACGAGCCAGATCCATGAAAACGCCGTCGTTTGGCTTCGCATCTTCTCTAACAACACCAGCTCTGACCAGAAACTCCTCCAAAGTCATCTCTCCCAGAGTGGGCTGTCTCGGCGTCTGTGCAAGATTGGGCCCTCCGTGCCCACCGTAATCCTTCGAAATGTCCTTCCAAACCTCATCCACTGTCTTCTGGCTCAGAGTCCGCGGCAGGGTCAGCGACCCCTGCCGTTGCAAATGGCTGACGCCGGCTCCTACGTCCTCGGTGGCAACGCCCGCCGAAGCCATTGTCTGAACCTCCTCCGCCGTCCAAATGTTCTTGAGCAACTCGTCCATGTTCATGGAGCCAAAGTCCTTCCCGGAACCTCCCATGCTGTTCATGAACTCGTCGAACGTCAGCGAGTACACCGACGGCTGCCGCGTGAGGGAGAAGTTCCCCACCGGCCTCCCTCCTCCGTCGCCACCAGCTTCATTCCCGAAGCTCTTGAAATTCATATCGAAACTATGAACAACCAAACACAATCCCAACCTGATCCGAATCCAAATCTCAGTTTTCCACCAAACTAACACTGGTCTGTTTCTTAATTTTCCAGCAGGAAATTCAGAGAATCATGAATTACCAACCAAGTACAAACTATTTACATCCAAATAAAAACCTAAAAAAAGAAGAAGCAGAGAGCTTGCAAGAATGATGAAACTACAAAAGAGGCGTTAATCTATTGTGAGTGAGTGCGATACAGTTGGATTGTGTTACACTTACATTTTATCTCGGTAACCTATTTTATCTATACATATTATAGAGGAAATAATTAGATATAGCATCCTAGTAATAAGATGAATTGAGATCCGAATTTGAACCCTAGTAGATGATATTGTGAAGAGAATTGTTGCGTGTTAGTGTTTGAAGTGAAAGATAGAAAAGATAGAAAAGATAGAAATAAGAAAGTGGAGGAATAAAAGCAGATAAGAATTTGTAAGCATATAAAAAGAATGGAGGGCAATAGCAATACCTTTGCTATTTATTTTACAAAACTTAGGTATTCCCGATTTGGTATGATTTTGGTGTCTGATGAGAGTTTACACTTCCTTGGCTGCGTTCCTCCTTCCTCGCTCTCCAACCCTCTGCTCCAACCGCCAAGTGTCCTTCTGTCTCTTCACACTAACAATCCCTTAACTTTTATTTTATCTTGCTAATTCAATTCAAATCTCTTTTTTTTTTTAATTTCAACTTTCCTTCTATTATTGCTTCTTTTCAAAATATCAACCCAAAAAAAACTTTTAAATCATATATGGCTGAATTAGTTTCCTAAAATATATCTAATGCTCCTTTTAGATATCTAAATATCTTCTTTTATTTCAAGATATTTTTGCTTTTCTTATTAGGATAATAAATAAACATGATATGTAGGTTTATTATCCAAAATCACTGTTTGGTATGTTGTGCTCGGTGACATGTTATTAGGTCGATATTTCAACTTAATATCATATGCTAAAATTATTTAAACCTTTTTTTAGATTTCTAAATTAAATACAAAGTATGCTAATAATAATAATAATTTGTGAAATATACTCGGGTTTGAATTTACTTTAATACAAGAGTCTCGATTAAGATTTTGTTAAATCACTGTTTTTAATCAAATTTTGAATATTATGCTTATCAGATAATTTGTTTCAAAAATAAAGTAACCTGACTGTGAAAAGAGCTTCACGCATGGTGTGTGAAGATTATTTAATAAAGAACTTTAATTTCAATTTTTTAATTTTATTATATTAGGTTCCAACACAAATAACTAAAGACGCGTTTTGTTAACGAATATTCCAAGGTGTTGATTTATGAATTAATAAAAAAATCGTATTTTCAAACTGATAANTGCTCCATTTGTCGGTGAATATTTTTTGTGGAAAAAAATGGTCTTAGTTAAGGACTGACAAAATAATATGTACTCGTGTAGAAAATTTAACCCTGATTCATGATATATGTTAACCAATCAGTCATGCAACAGGACATAAGGTTACAGCACTCCCTAAATTAAGGTCTACAAAATACTTTACAAGGACTAATGAAAAATAAAAACAGCAAATGGAATGCTGACAAAAAAAAAAACTTACTTGATTTTTCTGAATTTCCATGATTTCAGCCTGCAATACGCAAATAAATGTCGATTAGAGAAAATTTTAATGCGAACATACGACATAAATTCGTATACATGGGTGCTTGCATTTGTATGTGAAGTGACATGAGTCAATAACCATAATTACCTGTTTTTTCACAAGTTCTTGGTTCTCTTCTTTTAACTTTGCAACTTCTGCTTCCAATTCCATGGTATAAGCCTGAAACAAACAAAATGAAAATGTGAGGCCGAACTTACACCAGAAAAATAAATACATCTTACAAAATTTCAGCCTGCACTTCCTCCCACGTTATGTCTTGCAAGTTAATACATTTTTACTTATTATATGCTTCTTTGGATTTTATGATGATCCAACTGTTAGTGATGTTCCCAACCAGCTGTTCAATTACCTTGTAATAACCTGGATCTTTACAACTTCTCATGATTGTAACTTCTCAATATCTTTCACCTTTCATCAGATCAGATCGCTATCATATTACCATTCTGCTGCATAATCTTTCAAGGTATACAGCATGTTCACAGAGGATAAAAGCAGAACGTCAATGGCCGAGCAGTATTACTATTAGTAAAGAAATAACATGACGCATATCGTCATTATATTCTTTCGATTTTAGAACTGAACATTCACTAACCCTATTATAGAAAATTATGTGGCGTATTTTCATGAAAAATGTTACAGCTACTCCTCCCTCCTTTCTGATATTGAGAGTAAAATCTACAGTCTGCAACGGCAGGCATTTGATTATCTCATACCAGTAGATGGAGGTTGCAAGACAACAGATGAGTTGTAGACAAACACAAGTTTTATCATAGGCTCGTCTTGCATTTAGGCATTTAAACTGAAAGTTAAAGGTGTTTAATTAAAGCTTGAAAACGTAGCTTACAACCCTCCCAAAGCTCTTTTTAGCTGCTTTTTAATAAGCTTCATGCTAGCTTGATCTCATCAAAGTTATAGATTAAGCCCTAATGACATAAGCTCTTTTTAATTAAATTTTTACTCAAACATGCCTATGTACATGTTTAAAGTGATTGCATCAACCCATTGATATCCTTATGTTCTAACTAGAGAAATTAAATCAGTCTTTTTGCATTTAAGTAATTGTTCCTTTGAATATACAAATGCAAGAGAACTATGATTGCTAAATTTAGGATAGTGGAACAAATATTCACCTGCTTGCGTGCCCGTGACCTGGCAGCTGACTCTCTGTTCTTTATCATCCTTCTCTGCCTCCTCTCTATCACCTTCTCCACAGCTCCTCCAGTCTTCCTCCCCCGCATGCCTCCGTTAAAGACATAAGGAACCGGTGAGACAGACGAGGTATCACCATTGCTCTTGGTCATCTTATCACCGGATATTTGGTTAGCAGCAGGAGACCCAGTAGTAACATGAACTGACCCAGGTGCCAAACCAACCCTACCAATCCCTCCACCTTGCACGCTCAAACCCTGATCACCACCGAGTCCCACAATCCCACCTCTAACCATTCCCTGGGGCATCTGAGCAGCTGCATAAGACATAGGACTCTGCTTAGGAAATATCTGCTGCTGATGCTGTTGCTGAGACTGTGGACTCTGCATCTGTGGCTGCTGACTGGACGATCTCACCCCATTAACACTCAAAGGCAAATTGGCAGAAGACTGAAGACCCACCAGTGGATCATTGTTCAACCGGTTACCCATCAAACCGGTAGCAGTAGAAACCTTGTTCATCTGCTGGAACCCAAACCCCAAACCGTTGTTATTCCCCGCACGAGCCAGATCCATGAAAACGCCGTCGTTTGGCTTCGCATCTTCTCTAACAACACCAGCTCTGACCAGAAACTCCTCCAAAGTCATCTCTCCCAGAGTGGGCTGTCTCGGCGTCTGTGCAAGATTGGGCCCTCCGTGCCCACCGTAATCCTTCGAAATGTCCTTCCAAACCTCATCCACTGTCTTCTGGCTCAGAGTTCGCGGCAGTGTCAGCGACCCCTGCCGTTGCAAATGGCTGACGCCGGCTCCTACGTCCTCGGTGGCAACGCCCGCCGAAGCCATTGTCTGAACCTCCTCCGCCGTCCAAATGTTCTTGAGCAACTCGTCCATGTTCATGGAGCCAAAGTCCTTCCCGGAACCTCCCATGCTGTTCATGAACTCGTCGAACGTCAGCGAGTACACCGACGGCTGCCGCGTGAGGGAGAAGTTCCCCACCGGCCTCCCTCCTCCGTCGCCACCAGCTTCATTCCCGAAGCTCTTGAAATTCATATCGAAACTATGAACAACCAAACACAATCCCAACCTGATCCGAATCCAAATCTCAGTTTTCCACCAAACTAACACTGGTCTGTTTCTTAATTTTCCAGCAGGAAATTCAGAGAATCATGAATTACCAACCAAGTACAAACTATTTACATCCAAATAAAAACCTAAAAAAAGAAGAAGCAGAGAGCTTGCAAGAATGATGAAACTACAAAAGAGGCGTTAATCTATTGTGAGTGAGTGCGATACAGTTGGATTGTGTTACACTTACATTTTATCTCGGTAACCTATTTTATCTATACATATTATAGAGGAAATAATTAGATTTAGCATCCTAGTAATAAGATGAATTGAGATCCGAATTTGAACCCTAGTAGATGATATTGTGAAGAGAATTGTTGCGTGTTAGTGTTTGAAGTGAAAGATAGAAAAGATAGAAAAGATAGAAATAAGAAAGTGGAGGAATAAAAGCAGATAAGAATTTGTAAGCATATAAAAAGAATGGAGGGCAATAGCAATACCTTTGCTATTTATTTTACAAAACTTAGGTATTCCCGATTTGGTATGATTTTGGTGTCTGATGAGAGTTTACACTTCCTTGGCTGCGTTCCTCCTTCCTCGCTCTCCAACCCTCTGCTCCAACCGCCAAGTGTCCTTCTGTCTCTTCACACTAACAATCCCTTAACTTTTATTTTATCTTGCTAATTCAATTCAAATCTCTTTTTTTTTTTAATTTCAACTTTCCTTCTATTATTGCTTCTTTTCAAAATATCAACCCAAAAAAAACTTTTAAATCATATATGGCTGAATTAGTTTCCTAAAATATATCTAATGCTCCTTTTAGATATCTAAATATCTTCTTTTATTTCAAGATATTTTTGCTTTTCTTATTAGGATAATAAATAAACATGATATGTAGGTTTATTATCCAAAATCACTGTTTGGTATGTTGTGCTCGGTGACATGTTATTAGGTCGATATTTCAACTTAATATCATATGCTAAAATTATTTAAACCTTTTTTTAGATTTCTAAATTAAATACAAAGTATGCTAATAATAATAATAATTTGTGAAATATACTCGGGTTTGAATTTACTTTAATACAAGAGTCTCGATTAAGATTTTGTTAAATCACTGTTTTTAATCAAATTTTGAATATTATGCTTATCAGATAATTTGTTTCAAAAATAAAGTAACCTGACTGTGAAAAGAGCTTCACGCATGGTGTGTGAAGATTATTTAATAAAGAACTTTAATTTCAATTTTTTAATTTTATTATATTAGGTTCCAACACAAATAACTAAAGACGCGTTTTGTTAACGAATATTCCAAGGTGTTGATTTATGAATTAATAAAAAAATCGTATTTTCAAACTGATAATAATAATATGGATTGGAATAGATCTAAATTAGAATGGTATTTGTAAAAATAATATTAATATTATTATTAAGATGTGTGTGATAATAAAGAAAGCATTAAAATATGATGAGAAAGACATAATAATGGAGTTTGCAGAGTGCCGACTTGGAGAGGTGTACCAATGAAAAAGGATTGTGTGCGATGTGATAGCCAACCAATAGTATTCCGCTTTCTGGGAGAATCTCAGCCGTACACGTTTCTGATAAAGGTATGGTCACCAATTCCTGCTTTCTTCCTTGCACTGAACACTGTCCTTCCACCCAATTGTTTTAAAAAATTAAATAAAGTGCTTCACCATAACACTTTTCTTCCTATCCTATAAAAAAAAGTATGTATCATAAAAGTGCTGAAAGAAACCAGAGATGATAAAGTATACCATACTTACTTATTAATGTATTTAATTCATTTAGTTATTAATAAATATTTTACTAAAGTTATGCAGAAAAAAAAAAACTAGAATTTGTAACTAGGTTAAAAAAATGGTATAACTCGTATTACTTTTGTAGTCTCAAACGAGAAAAATAATTCCTTGATTGACTTTATTGTTTAATCTTCTATTTGTAAATAACATTTTTTATATCACTGTTACAATTAAATTTATAATTGAGGTTCTTGAAGTGTTAAAACAGTTTAACTTAGTTTGTTAAGATTGAATTATTATAAAATTCTTTGATATTTATTTTATTTTTACAAATAAAAAATAACCATGAAATATCTATATCATTTGTTGGCTTGTCCAAAAATCTATTTTCAATACACATGTTGTTAGGAGTCAAATCCAAACTAATGTGTTTAAATTTTTTATCTATGCCAAAATTTATTGATGCAGTTATTTTCTAATTCATTCCTTTTTACTTCTTCCTTCTATCGTTCAAAAGCATTTATAACAAGGAAAATCAAATCCTTGTGCATTCATATTAACTATAGGAATTGTGAGTTTTTACCCAAGTTTTTTATATTCCATTTTATTTGTATATAACTACTTATACATTATTATTTCTTACACTGTTTTTCTCCTATAATAATTTTCAAATTAGCCAACGGTATTACAATTTTATCGTCTTTTTATCTTATTTTAATAATGTGAAACAAAAACATAAAACATCTCTTCAGTCCACGTGGATAGATATAAAATAATTTTAAATAGTACAATTTCACAGCTTGTAACGTTTCATTATAATAATTACATTATACTAAAGGGTTTAACATCGCGTGTGTGTATATATATATATATATATATTACTTCATAGCCGACTGAACGGTAAAGGTGCAGAAGAATCGTCCAACCGATGATACCTCTCAGGTCAATGAACTGATCGGTAAAATTAGCCCGGCCCGACCGATGATACCTCTCATGTCATTGACAATTAATATTATCATTCATTGGTGGTTAATGAGTCAGACCTAAGGGTAAGCTCATTATAATTTATAAATATTTGTCTGGCAAAGGGTACAGGTAACTGGAACTTGAACTTAGAGCTCTGATAACTAAATCTTGATTACAAGATTACTACGCGAGGTCACTGACTTGAACGTCGGAGTGTCTTTTGCAGACACCCTCCCCGCGGCTTGGACAAGGAGAGGAGAGAAGACAGCACAACTGGACATCGGAGCATACAACTTTGAATGTTTTATATATATATATATATATATATATT